GACTATTGTTACTTATTAATTTATGCTTATAACGATGCATGAATTAGTATAGATTTGCCTTTAAAATAGTCTTTAAAACTTAGTGGATACTACGAAATGACATAAACCACTAGAAAAGACTAAGGTAGTACTACTAAGGCTAGGGTGGTAGTGTGAGCCCAAAAATATATATGCTTAATAAGATACTATTGTGAGTAAAAGTATCAAGCATAATTCTTTAAAGAGATCTTATTTAAAGAAAGAGGAAATTCACAAATAATTTATTGGAAAATAGTGTGATGAGTATGAAAGTGCATGTCTAGGATTGGTTCTATGAAGACTTGGTACTTAAGCGTGCCTAGTGCACCACCTCTCTTTCATAGAAACCTACCTGGTGCATTGTTCATTACTATGCTCACTATTCCAATTTATAAAATACTGTGACAAGATAAAAACTCTTAAAACTTAGTGCAGAAGTTAAAAGAGTAGAGATTAATTTGGTTGAGTGGAATACCAAATTTAGTCATAGTAAATAAAATATATGATGATCTCTTTAAGACTAATATGTTGAATATCATGAATGAAATTATGATAGACACTATTGCTACTAAGAGTGTGTTGTAGCTATTAAATCTCTTTAAGTGATTTTCCTAAGTAGAGGAAAGAAAATAGATTATCTATTTCATAATGGTTTATGCATTTTAATCTTAATGATTTGTAACTTCTCAAAACTTTGAGAATATAATTATGTGTAAACAAAACTTGAGTTTGTTAAAATATAGTTTTATGGCTAAAACTCATAACAAACTTTACTCTAGTATGATTGAGTATTTGTTTACACGTTTTACAAGACACTTATGAATATCCTAAAATGTTAGAAATGTGGGGGTGTCTTAAAATGTAGATTAAATGCATAAACTCAAATAGAAAATATTCTATCCACTTCTTCTAGTATTCCTGCTGGGTCTTCTCAAGAAATTAATTTCGAGCCTAGAAGAAGTAAAAGGCTATTTGGACCAAATTTTATCACTTCCTTTATTTCTGAGATAAATAATTTACTCTCTTTCTGATCATATAGCTTAAATGTTATATGAGGATCTTAAAAAAGCTATAAGATCTATCGATGCTAGTTTCTAGAAAAGCGCTTTTAATGATGAACTAGAATCGATAATTTCTAATCATACTTGGGAATTAGTTGACTTGCCTAGAGATTTAAACCAATCTGTAGGAAATGAATCTTCCGGAAGAAAATGAGACCAGATGGTTTGATCCAGTGGTACAAGGCAAGGCTAGTTGTCAAAGGTTCACTCACAAGTTTGTTTTAGACTATTTTGATTCTTACTTCCCTGTTATGAACATCTCAAAGATCTGTGCATTATTTACAGTAGCCTCTATTCATAAGTTGCAAGTACATCAAATGGATGTTAAGACTGCATTTTTGAATGGAGATCTAGATGAGGAGATCTATATGGGAATAATGGTACAAGAAATTTCATAAAACTATACTTAGTTTTAGTTTTGTTGTGAATAGTTCGGATGCTTGTGTGTATTCGAGGATGTTTGGTACTGATTGCATCATCATAAGTTTTGTATGTTGATTTTCAGTTCTAACATTGAGTCCATTAACAAAACAAAAGTTTCTTGTACACTAAATTTGAGATAACGAATTTGGGAGAAGTCAATGTAATCTTATGAGTCAAAATTACCAAAACGGAAAAGGGATTTTCTTTAAGTCAAGCACACTATCTTGAGAAAGTGTTAAAGAAATTTGACAGTTTTGATGTCATCTCTGTTCGAACTCTTGTGACCCTAGCATATATCTCTTTAAGAATAAAGGAAGTAGCGTTTCCCAAACTGAATATGCTAAATTAATCGGAAGCTTAATGTTCTTAATGAACTATACTCGGCCTGATATTGCTTATGCTGTGAGTAGACTGAGTAGATATACTCATAATCCGAGTGGTGAACATTGGATTGCTCTTAAACGCTTACTGAATTATCTTAAGGGTACTTTGGATTGGAAACTTGAGTTTGTTGGCTTTCCTGCGGTACTGGAAGGATATTGGGATGCCAATTGGGTTTCTGATAATGATGAGGTAAGCTCTAGAGCGGGTATGTTTTTACTTTGGGTGGAGCAGCAATCTCGTAGAAATCATCAAAGTAGACTTGTATTACTCGTTCTACCAAGGAGTCAGAGTTTATAGCTCTTGACTTAGCTGGGCAAGAAGTCGAGTGGCTCAGAAGCTTGTTAGCAGATATTCCGTTGTGGGGAAGACCGACTCCTCCAGTTTCATTGTTGTGTGATTTACAAGCTGCGATATGTGTGGCTAAGAACCAAACTTACAATGGTAAGAAAAGACACATTCGCATAAGACATGAATCAGTTAGACACTTAATAAAGAATGGAGTGCTCTCTTTAGAGTATGTGAAGTCGGAAAGGAACCTAGCAGATCCGCTTACCAAAGGGTTAAGTCGGAAGCTGGTCCTAGATTCGTCGAGGGGGATGGGTCTCAAGACCATTGGTTGAGGAATTCATGGTGGATACCCAACTTAGTTATCTAAGTTCCATGTGGTCAAACGAAACCATGGAAAGACTAATAGTGCACATTCCTACTTCCTATCCCTATGACGAATAATGTGCATGCCCAAGATGAGCTTAAGTGCTCTTAATAAATTCATAGCTCAGGCTTTGGATGGTCTTAGTGAGAAAGACTTGATGAATTTACCGATTTTGGATGAATATCTATTCTTAATAAGTTCATAACCCAATTTGAGTGGGTATTCCTAAGTGAGAAGTAAATAATGAACTTACCAACATAAACGTTGAGTTTGTTAAACTCTTAATAAATTCAAATCCAAGTATTTGGATGGTTCTAGTGAGAAGGACTTATTGAATTTACCGAATAAATGAGGTTGAATATTTATTCTTAATGACTTCTTAGCCTAGAGTTTGGGTGGTTCATTTATAATGAACTTGAAGAAAGTCACCATACTCTTTGTGAGGTTGAGCTTTTATAAAAGCTCTTAATTATTTCATATCCCTGTTAAGGGTGGTTTATATCGAGATAAACTTGATGAAATAACCTATGTAAGTAAGAAGGGTTAGCCGCATTCTATGAAAAATGTTGGGCCATTTTTCTAGCACACTTACTAGAATCCTAAGGTAAGATGGCCAAATATATACTTTTGTATATATATATCTTACACATCGAGGACTCAGGTGGATGAAGGGGTTAGTTGTGTGTTATGAGTTTACCCCATCTTAGAAAGTTCCAGACTAGTTTCACTTATCTAAGAGAATGATTGATCATTATCACTATGTACTAGTTCCATATACGTTCACTAGTGCTTAAGCAACTAATCTCACTATTGCTCTTCTGGAAAGTTTGTTTTCGAGTTTCAGAAGAATTCTTTCGCATTAGTGGGGGAATGTTGGTAATGCTCAATCCCCCATAGAGTTGGAAATACTAGTGGGAATGATATTTAAGGTTTACATTCTCCATTCCCTTGTTGAGTGATAGAGAACAAGGCGTGGTAATACGTGTCTTTGACACGTCCACACGGATACTATCTTTTTAGAGAAAATTCGTAAGGAATTTTTCTCTGAAAGATTAAATGAAAAATGTAAAAGATTCATCTGATATTTATAGACTACTGAGACTGTTAAAGTTCGAATATTTCAGATGATAACAATTGATTATTAGATGTCTGAAATTAAATAAATTAAACAATTATTTTTCTAAATTAAATCATAATTTAAGATGTATCTAGACTGATTTTCAGCTTTTTTCATGGGAGAGACAAGCTGTTAATATCAGAAGTTACAGGAGTTATATGATTTAATTTCAAGAGTTATAACTGTTTAATTTTTATGCAATGAACATGGACTCTTTTTTGAGCTAGATTCATCAAGAGGAGTTACAAAAAGGGTTTAAATTCAGAATTAAAATCAAATTTAATTTGATTTTCTTGTTGGACGGATTTACCTTTACTTCTAGCCTATAAATAGAGAGCTAAATTCAGCTTCACAACACACTCTCTACAATTAGAATTCACTCTCCAAGTGTTTTCTAGAATTGTTCTCTCCTTGCTTTCCGATCAGAAGTGCAATACCACCAGCAGTCCACTCTGGTTTCGGGTGTACGGAATTCGGAGCGACCGTGTTAACCTCGGGGGACGGTCCGCCTACTGTAGCGATTACACACATCGGGGCGAATTCGTTTCTAAGGCAGTGGTTAATACCACAACACGGTTAATCGGTTCTTTAATTATATATTTCAATATATATTTTTCCAGTCAATGCTAATGCCTCGTTTTGTAGCAGTCTATTTTACCAACACCGTGATCTCGGAACAAACCACTAGAACACGAGCACCCTTGTTGTTTTCAGCCAAGTCCTTGGCGAGACGGAGCACGGTCCCGCCAGCAAAACATCCTTGCTGATACATCATATACCTCTTAACGGAGGGTTTAAGTCCGAGCAGCTTGGTGAATTGGTAGTCAGCACCAGGCATGTCTACACCAGAAGTAATGCAGAAAAACGAGATGGGTAATCTTAGATTTCGGCTGACCCCATTCTTTGATGGCCTTTGTAGTCGCTTCTTTCCCTAACTTAGGCACCTCCACAACCATTATGTCTTGGCGCGCGTCCAGAGAAGGAGGCCATGTAGGTACACATATTCTGATTCTCCTTCAAGATATGTTGATGGAAGGGTAAGTTGTCTGGGTTAATTTTTTTTTATGCATAATGTAAACAAATACCCTTAACGTTTGTCACTATATACATTTATGTCCAAATCGTTTTTTTGGACCAATTTTACCTAGGGGTGTAAACGAGCCGAGTCGAGATCGAGTATTGTTGAACTCGACTCGAACTCAAAAACTTTAAAAGCAAGCTCGATTCGACTCAAAAACTCACGAACTAAAAATTATCAAGCTCGACTCGAACTCGAAACAAAATTTTAAAACTCGACTCGAACTCGAAAAAGCTTGAATTAAAAAAAAAACCAAAAGCTCAATACTTAAACTCGAAAAGACTTAAACTCGAAAAAATTTTGAGAACTCGATTCAAGCTTGAGAACTAAGAGGGGGTTTGAAAATAATTTTCAACTAACAATCAACACGCCTCGGTTCGAACCTTATGAGCTGCGTCATTTCCCCAACCAAGCACAAAGATAGGGGTATATGGGTCAAGGATTATCCTCACCTTAAACCTACCGATGTGGGATATATGGGTCACTTATTTGTCGAAGTTTGTAAAGAGATATGGGAAGTCAAAACTGGAACGAGCAACGGAACTGTTTGAGCATGCCATTGAAACGTCACCTTCTGATGCAGTAAAACCCCTTTATCTTCAGTATGCCAAAACGACCAGAATAACCAAATAAAAAACACCACCAAACCCCCATAGCCACCTCCACCATCATAATGTCCAAATCTACTGCGAAAACCTCCAAAAGATCATGACACAACTATGATGGATAATCACCGTATCATTTAGATTCTTTAACTGGAAAAAGATAGAGACGAGATAAGCTAGAATCAGGCCACATCTACTAACTCTCGAAAGAGCCAACTCTGATGTCCCGAATGCACTTCAGTGTCTGTGCTGTGGAGGGATGCTGGGAAGAGCAGCCCCATCATTACTATCAACAGCAGTTCTGAATTCACAACAACCGTTGTCTTGTTGAAAGCCTGCACCTTTCTAACAATCCCACCAGAAAAGAATGTGATCCCAAGAACAAATAACAAGTTTGACAAAACTGAACCCGGCAATGATAGCTGAACTATACGTAGCCTTCCGGTTCGAAGTACATAAATTGATACATTAATTTCCGTTGCATTTCTGAATGTAGCATTTAGCATACCCCAACTGTAAATTTCATTCCAAAATTTCAGTGCATCAAGCTGGAGGAGGATTTTGGGCTAGCAAAGCGAGCTATGAAGGTCTATGATCAAGCAACTAAAGCTGTTCCAAACCATGAGAAACTTGGCATGTATGAGGGAAGATGGAAATGACATTGATGGTAAACACGATGCCTCTGCTGCCAAAGACAAGGGTGGGAAGGGACTACTGGGTGCACTTGAGCGAATCAAAAGGCAGAAGCAAGCTCAGTAATACCTCTACATATTCAACTCCCACCAAGTTATCTTTGATAAATCAATGGAACTAACTCTGGAATTTTATGTGCGTGTTCTTTAGGGTTTTGTATATTTGGATCAAAATCAAGTCCATTTCAAAAAAATATGCATGTTTAATAAATTTATAGTTTGGTATGTTATATTTTAATTTTTGTATTTCAATCACATTTGTTTAAATTTTTTTTGTTTTAAATGTTCAAGTGACATTTATGTTATTTTCCATATTATTTTAGCTTAAACCGAATAGGATCAATTGCATATAAGACCCTGTAGTTTATGCGCATTTTGTATTTAAGTCATTGGTTTAATTCCAATTTTGTATGTTTAATTTTACATTTACGTGAATTTAATCATCATTCTAAAGTTGGTATATTTAGCTTAAATTAGTCCTCACATTTAGGTTTCTCTTAATTTAGTCCATGTTTAGGATTGTTTTCTTTAATTAGTTGTGTATATTTATTTTGCATGTTGATATGTTTATGTATAAGTATGCAAATGATTTATTTAGGAGTCACATAACATCATTTTGCATAATTTGTATGTTACTTTCATGTGCATAACTTAACTCCTATCATATAATCAGGTTAAGGGTTTAGGGTTTATAGTTTAGGGTTTATAGTTTAGAGTTTAGGATATAGGGTTCATTGCAAAGACATTAATTAACCAATTTATGAGGTAAGTACAATATAATATCTTGATATTAAATGCTCAAACCCTTGATATTTATGATATTTGAACTCGAAACCTCAAAATATAACAACAATATAAAAAATTAGTTATTAAAAATTTGAGGTAGTTGTATTATAGAATTTTTAATATAATTTTAAAATTTTATAATTATCAATAGTGTATTTTTAATAATGTAAATTTAAAATATATAAAATTATAATATAACATTTTTTTGAGCTGCTCACGAGCTTTTCGAGTCGAGTATAAAGTAGCTCGTTTCGTCTCGTTAAAAACTCGAGTCGAGATCGAGCTCGAGCTCTAGTCGAGTCCATTCGATCCGAGTATTTATTGAGCCTTGATCGAGTCGATCTCAATTAGCTCGCGATCTGTCTCATCTCATTTACAACCCTAGTTCTACCCACAATGTTTCTTTATGAGGCATAAGTCCCCCCGTTGGATGGAATCCCTCAGTCAACTGACGATCAACAGGTCCATCTGACGTGGCATGCACATGTGGTCACCGAAGATGATGTGGCATTTCCATGTCACTATTTTATGCTGATGTGGAATTTACACAAATGATGATGTGGCATGTCCACGTCATTAATTTGTGTTGACATGGAATTTACACGTCAGATTTTTTTAAAATTTCAATTAAAATTTTGTACCAATAAGAGAGCGACACGTGTCACTCTATTATTGGAAGGGGAATCAAACCTGGGGCAAGGGTGTAACATCCTCAATACCGGGTTAGTGACCAAATTGTAAAGTTTCAGAATTTGGTGACTAAAGTATAAGAATGAAATAGTTTAATGATTATTGGATATATATGATGAAGGTTAATTAGTAATTATTAAAGGAAATTAAGGGTTAAATGGTCATTTGACCAGAAAGATTTTTATATTCCTTTTAAAGGTAATATAAACGTGGGAAATTTGAGAAGCATCCAGAGTTCTCTTCTCCTTTCTTCTTCTTCATACGTGGGAGAGCAAGGCAAAGGTAAGTTTAATTTCAGTTGGTTAATTCTTAAGTTTTAAGTTTAGTTTTGATTCTTTGGGTATTAAATAAGCTTAAGGAAAGCTTATATGGGATTTAAACAATAAGATAAAGGAATTATGAAGGAATTTGCAATATGAGTTTTAAGATGAAATTTTGATATGGTGTGGTTGTTGAAGTTTTATGGATGAATTTGACTTGTCATCAATCCAATTAAGAAGTATGAAGTGTTAGAATTGGAATTAGAACACATTGAAAATTTGGTATGATTTTTGAATCTCATATGGAAGATAGGATTTTGAGGTTTAAGATGAAATAAATGAATATAGATTGGTTTAAGTATGTGTACTAGAGTTAAGAATGAAAAGGGGAGGATATATGAAGTGTTTGAGAGAAAATGAAGTAATTTTCGGGCTAAAATATGATTTCTGGGCAAGGGGAATCGGTACCCATTCAAGGGGAACCGATACCCCTTCAAACGAACAACATTTCCAGAATGTCATTAGGGAATCGATACCCCCATAGTAGGGAACCGATTCCCCCTAAAGGAAAAATGGGAATATTGGTTTAATAAGTTCGTTTAAGTTGCTAGTATCTAATTAAAAGGTGTAGGTATCTAATGATTGCCTCAAAATGTACATTTATGTAGATTCTGCGCATAAAGCAATTCCGGAACGTTTGGCAAGTAAGATCGATCAAGGGGAAAGATAAGAGATTGGAATTTGACTAGTGAGGCCAGGTGAGTGCATATTCAATAGTATATGATGTACGATGGGAATAAGACTTGCGATGAGTCTAATTCCTTAAGTGTTACACATGAATGCATGATTAAAGGCATGAGTTGAATATGCATGTATGTATGCTTGATTATATGGATTGATCTGTTCTTTTATGTGTTACGTGATAAAGTATAAGTGATTACATAAGAAAGGTTATGAATTATATGAGATATAAACTATGTGATCATAGTAAAATATAATTATATTATTAAATGATAAGTGAAATAAGCTAGATAATATTGATCTATAGGATAATGTGAGAATAGTACACTAACTAGGAGATTTGAACATAAATGATAATATGAGCATATAAGATAAGCTAGATGGGAAAGATTCATATGTTTAAATAAAACTATAACACAGGGGTTGTATGATAGAAATTTATGAAGCTATATGAGAAGATTATAAGAGTTATATGAAATTGAATTAAGTAAACAGATTAGATTATATATATATAAAGAAATAATAGAAGTGAGATGTGTTTATAAGTCTGACATAGATGAATATGAATATGAATATGAATTATAAGAGTGCTATATGATTTATATTAGGATAAATCTTGAGAATATATATATATAGATAGATATGAAATAAAATGAGTTATATGAATACATAATTATGTGATGAAATGGTGGATTACCTGAACATGTGAATATATATATATATGTCTAAGAGAAGGCATAAGATTAAGATATAAGCAATGTGACTATAAGTATATGTGCTCTAAGTGATATGACTTATAGGTATTTCTATTATAATGTTACATGATATGTTATGTATGTTAAATGAATTATGTGAGGGTATAAGAAATGATATGAAATATATATGTGAAAACAAGTATATGTTATGAGATAAGACCTATGACTATAAGCTACGTGAAGGTGTTTCTATATGTTAAATGAAGTATATGATCTTATGTGAACAAGATATGATAAGTATGTTTACATGAATAAATGTGATTGGGTGAGAAATGATAGAAATTATATGATAACATGATATATGTGACATGTGAATTATATGGAAATGATCTACGTGTAAGTGAACTACGTGACTATGTGATAATATGAAAAGAAGCTATGTGATACGTGATATGTGATACGTGAATTACAAGTTTATGTGAATATTTGAAATGAAATAAATAATAACGCCCATGTTATGTGTCATGAGAGCTAGGGGTATAGTTGGCATGCCAAGAGTCGAGGGTCTACGCGGTCCTTCGGGACATATATATATTCTTTGGAACATGTGTGAAGTCTTGAAAGACACATACTTGATCCCTAGTATATGTATATGATTCTTAAGGAATTCTATGTGGTCCTTATGGACATCATTATATGGCACTACGGTGCAATTCTACGCGGTCCTTCGGGACATATGTATATTCTTTGGAACATGTGTGAAGTCTTGAAAGACACATACTTGATCCTTAGTATATGTATATGATTCTTAAGGAATTCTATGTGGTCCTTATGGACATCATTATATGGCACTACGGTGCAATTCTACGCGGCACTTCGGTGCAATTATACGAGCTGTGGTGACAGCATTAGTGCACAACCTCTATAGACTCACATATCGATAGTTCTCACATATGTACATGGGCTAATCCAGAGATATGAACAAATATATGTTAGTGGTATGATAAATGCTATAGAAATGATATGATGTTGTGTGTGTATAGTGTTTGATTGAAAAAGTATGTGATTACATGATAAACTGTTAATGATGAATGATGTGTATGTATGTATGTATTTACTGCAATTAATCTGATATGATTTTATATGATACGAAGAATGCATGGAATTGATATAACATGATAGAACAAAATATGCATGTATTGATATATGTTATAAAGTGCATTATAAGTTGTTATGCCTCACTAAGTCTTCGACTTAGCGTGCGATTGTTTCACACGTAGGTTTCGAGAAGAGTAAAGAGTAATGCGGACCAAGACAAGTCAGTTTTCCTTACCAAATGTCATATCAGAAAATATGTATACTGTTTATAGAGCGTAGTTGGCATGTAATCTAAAGACATAAATTGTATGAACTCTGATATATATTTTGTAAACGTTTTGAATAAGTTAAATGTTATCAAAGTTTTTAAATTACTCACTATTTTATACGAATAAATGTTTGAAAAGTCAATGTGACACTTCGGACTCGTATACGGGTCGGATACGGGTTGGGGGTGTTACAAAGGGCATGAAATGAGATGGCCCTTGCCACCAAGCCAAACATACTACTTGGTTAAGTAATGAAATAAAATCTTATTTAACCCATCATCCGACTATAAAATAGAAATGGATGTTCATGTTATTACTAATCTGCTTAAAAGAAAACCTAAAACATAAACTAAGCAACCCTCTTATTCTCCACTCTCTTTCTCACACATGCACGAGCGGCGACGCCTCTCAACCCCAAAGGCCCTAATGCAACGACGCCCCAGCCACCGGACCTCGACGACAGTTTACTCCCCAACCACCACTTGAGGCAGCCGAAGAGGCCCAAATAAACCCAAAAACGCCGATAACTCTCACCTTCCTTTCCATTCTTTTTTTAAACTCTCGACAGAAGCTAAAGAAAGACCAGCGCCGTCGTAAATCAACATTCTTCTACCCTTCGGCCACCACCTACGGTGGTCTACCTAACCAAAACTCGGACCTACAATAAACCCAACTCATTTCTCTGTCTAAACCTAAAAAAATGAGCCCCCAAACCTAACGCAAGCCACTACCAACATCTAGGAGGACTTGGCTCCTCAACTTCTTAAACCGATGTTTTGACTCCGGCGATAACAATTAAGAAAAGGTAAGCGTTTTTCAAGCTTTAAGCTCGTTTAGAAACGGAAGTAAACAAAGTGAAACCAAGCTCCCACCCGGTCCACGGTGGCTGCCGATCTTCGGTAACCTCTTCGATCTTGGCGATAAACCCCACAGGTCATTGGCTAAACTCGCTCAGGTTCAAGGCACTGTTATGGGTCTCCAACTCGACAGCTTATTCACCATCTTCATTTCATCGGAAACAACCACAAAAAAAGTCTTGAAAGAACAAGACCTCGTCTTCTGTAACCGTACTGTCGTCGATGTCGTCCTCTTCGGCAACCTCTTCGATTCAATGAATTTGGGCTCTTGTTTATACCCGTTTTAACACTTTGGAGAACTCTTCACAAAATCTGTGCTATCAATCTTTTCTCTAGTCTAAAACTCGATACCAAACAATACTCGAGTCGGGTGAAGTCCGAAAAACTGATCGAGAATGGTCAGCATAATATTTGGTGTATGAGTTTGCAGATTGTATCCAAAATTAATAAATTCTAAACATTAGTAATTGTATTATAAACAGATAAGGCAGAGGTGTATGACATTCCACGTCCATTTCTGTTTATAGTCGGGTGATGGGTTAAATAAGATTTTGTTTCATTACTTAACCAAGTAGCATGTTTGGCCTGGTGGCAAGGGTCGTCTCATTTCATGCCCTTGCCCCAGGTTCGATTCCCCTTCCAATAAGAGAGAGACACGTGTCGCTCTCTTATTGATACAAAATTTTAATTGAAATTTAAAAAAAAAACTTACGTGTAAATTCCACGTCGTCACATATTAGTGACGTGGACATACCACATCATCATTTGTGTAAATTCCACATCAACATAAAATAGTGACATGGAAATGCCATGTCATCGTCAGTGACCACATGTGCATGCCACGTCAGATGGACCTATTGACCGTCAGTTGACTGACGGATTCCATCCAACGGGGGGACTTATGCCTCATAAACAAACGTTGTGGGTAGAACTGCTCCAAAAAAAATGATTTGAACACAAATGCATATAATGTCAAACGTTATGGGTATTTGTTTGCATTATGCCTTTTTTTTATTAAATGTGGGTGGGTTATTTATACTTGAGGAAAGAAAAACACTGGGTAGATTGAATGGATGGGCAGCTAGAGGCCACGTTGGCGTATGATGGGCTGCTTAAAAGGCGGCAGTTGTGAAGTCACATCTTTACATTTTTTTATGGGTAAATTAAGTTGGTTATCTCTTTTATATTTAATCTATCTTATTTTGACCATCTATTTTTTTAAAAAAATTATGTTATAATTATTTTTTATTTCTGAATTTAATCATTAGACCGTTAATTTTTGTGATCTTATTGACATGACACATAAGTCAAAATGTTTAAATTTTAATTTACCTTTATATTTCAAACATAATGCTAATTTGAAATCTATAATTTAAACATACTATATATTTAATCTTTAAATTTTAGCTAAAATATCAAATTAATCCATAAGTTCAGTCCTATATCCTATCGTTGATTACCATTCATTTTCATTGTCGGTTACCAATTGTCATTGGCCATAGCCGACCACCACCATTGACGGTCATCAGATGTCAAAATTTTTAATTCGCCAAAAATCTAAATATATATCAAAATACATTCATATTATAATAATATTAATTTAATTTATATAAATTTTGATAAATTATACATTGCGCGTAAATTTTATCTTTATTCTAGTATTTTATGTATTGTATAAGATACTTCGAGTGTACTTTTTTCGATATAAAATAACTTAAACTCAAGCTTAAATATTTAAAATTTTGGATACTCAATATTTACTAACTCGATCAAGTCCTTAATGGGTTTTATTTTAGATGTTTAAAAGTAATATATATATATATATATATATAAATATAAATATTTGTTTAAATAAATTTGTAATATTTATACATTTTTAATATTTTAATCTAATTATTTAAGAAAAGTTAAATCAAAATATGAAACGATGGTCGAAAGCTACTTGCACAACAACCATTCAGAGTTGTCTCATACAGAAAACTCAAAAATAAATCTTATATATTTTTTAGCCAAATAATTTTAAAAGTTAGATTTTCTTTCTGATTTTTCGAGACCTTATTTTCCCTTAATTTAACAAATCTAAAAATCCAAAATATCAAATGTTTTTATTTTTCTCGATGAAATATTTTTTTTGAATATTGTATGAATTTTGATTTTAAACAATAAATATAAAAAATGTGTATCATTTTACTATTAGATTGAGATTTGAAAAGACTAAGAGTTATATGATATTTTATAATATTTTATAAATTAAAAAAAGATTTCTAAGATGTGTTGGTTAAAGATCATAATCAACGTTATAGTGATAGATGACAAATATTTTTTTTTTATATAAAAAGTTACAAATGATATATTTTAATGTAAAATGTCATGCGAAGATATTATAATAGCTAATCTTATTTGAAATAGTTGATAAAACTTTTAAAAATAAGAATAGGAAATTCTCACGTGCGACAGTGTTAATATACGGTTAAAGAAAGACGCTATTGGTTTTGTTATTATTTTTTAACAAAACCGGTAAAAAATTACCGGAAATATTATTATTTCTATCGGTTTTATTATTATTGGACGCTTTACCGGTTTTGTTAACATATCCGTAAAACACTACCAATTTTGTTATTTTTTCTACCTGTTTTGTTATTATTGGGCACTTTACCGGAAATGTTAAAAAACATTTATGTTTTAGGTAATTTTTTACTGATTTTATTAAAAAAAATAACAAAAGTAGTAGCACATTTCCTTAGCCTATATTAAAGTTGTCGCGCGGTAGAACTTTCCTATAAAGTTAATATATATATATATAATTAGGGTCATGATCTACTTAAACAATATAAAATTTCTTTAGTTTTACACAGATTTAGGACTGCTAGATGAGTAAAAATATATGGATGAGATTGACTCCTTATTTTCCCCCAGTATATATTTTCTCATTTTCTACTGTTAATCTCAGCTATCGATTTTTACTCATCCAACGATTCTAAATCTGTATAAAACTAAAAGAATTTTACATTGTGTAACAAGATCATGTGCCATATAATTATATACAAGAATAAATATTAAATTTATATTTGTAATATTAAAAATTAATAGTGTTTAAAATTAAAATATATTAATATATTTTTATAAACACATGTATACATACAAGCGTATATACACACACACGTAGTGACACAGATGCAGACGCATGCACAATTTTAGACTAAAACAGAAACACCGAACCTTCGAACCATGTGTTCCGACTGTGGATGATGTCCAGATTTTTGCAACAACAATTTTGGTTTTCTTTTTTGTTAGATCAGATTGGTTACTATAAGATAGATCCATATGGCATCAAATGAAATAAAACAGGAACGGTTTTATTCACAATTATAGTAACAATAAGGGTAAAGATGTGTGTTGAAACTTGAAACGGACAAGATGAAACAGAAAACGACATGGGTGAGGAGCAAGTGGAGTTGCTTTTTGCGCTGAAACCGCGAAACCCAACAACTTTCTACCAAACGCGGTAACCCTCCGTCATCCTCAACCTATTAGAGGACTCATCCAGGGCTTTACAATGGGTAGGCCCTTTTTCAACTCTTAAATAATTATATTAATATAACATAAAATATTTTCTTCTCTTCTGCTTACATTCGTGGAAGCAGTCACAGAGAAGGATGGATAGATAAATAAATAAATAAATAAATAAATAAATCCCTCCCTTTCAAGACTCGGAATCAACAACTACCGACCCATATTTGATCCTTCACCGCCCGCTGCAACCATCCTCAACGGCATATCTCCGGTGATTCCTGCCATTTGTAAGTTGGATTCTTTCGTTCCATTCAGTCCAGATTCTAAGGTTGATGACCTATGCCTTCTTGTGTCCAGATTCGATAGACGTGGCCGTGTTTTTGTTGTTGTTGAATCGAATATATCCTTCATTATTGATTATTAATACCCTTCTCCTTTAGTTCCTTACGTAATCCCTGAATCTTATTGTTAGGTCAATATCATGTTTCAGGCTAGGAGTTTCCTTTAAGTAATTGTTTTATCCAGGCATATTGCTTAATCCAATTAGAATCTTGACCAATCCATCAATCTTTCATAATGTAACTATAGTGTGATCATAATTGAATGTATACCAACGATCGGACATGTTATTATGCCTTTACTTTCGCATCTAAGAATGGTACTCATCTTGTTAAAACTTCTCGCTCTTGCAGTTTAGTATTCAGCACCTGTTTTAGCTGGTTTTATTCCGAGGAGTCGAGGACTAGTTCTCTATTTTGGGTCGAGTTACAGTATGTGGAATGGAGTTCAGTACATGGGTGAAAGTTCTACCTCATCCTCTTGGAGCAGTCATCCGGATACTGAGGATGACCAGATGATTGCTGTTGTGTTATCAGAGGAATATTCCATGTTAGATGGTGCTGTTGCTAGGCGTCTTTCTGGTCTTGCACCTGTTCCTGTATGCTGTTCCACTTTCAATTTCTTTTTCTTTTTTTATTATTGATTATACTTTGCTTCCCTCAACTTCTGACGTTTACGTTTTCTTCATAGATCTGTCTATCTGAATTCACTTTAAAACTGATTTTAGTAGGTTTTATCTTCCTTCCCCCCTCCCCCTTAAATTCAACAAGAATAAGTCTTTGAAGTTCTCAGTAAGCATTCATTACCTCTGAGAAACAATGCATTTGATGCTCTCCTGTTTTATCATTTATCCATTCTGCATCTCCGCACAGTTCTTGCTTATTGCATTAATTCTGTTACTGCTACTTTTATCGATATTGATTGATAATTCTTCTCTTTTAAATGAAACTTTGTTGAAACTTCAGCATGTCCCACAAATAAACACTTATATTCCCAGCATAAGTGATGCAAGTTTGGATCATCAACGTCTTCTACAAAGGTATGTATTATGCTCAACAGTTCCAAAAACATGGTTTAAAAGCTTCTTAATATTCTTTTAATCTTTATTCATTTGGAAGATGTTGAAAAATATCATGGATATACATATCTATGTAGCATAGTTGAAAAATTGGAAGGCACCTTGGTTGGCTTACTTTGTATTTATTGATAAATTCGAAGAATTTAACTGATTTAATGAATTGGTCCTATTATAAACCAACTATAATGCTACCTTTTACATTTTGCTCTAAATTAATTTCTTTTTCATATGGTAGTACTATCTACCAAATGGAATCTAAATGTCTTCTATGAAAAGAATTATTTAGATGATGAAGTAAAAGAATGTTCTAGTGAGAAATTATGTGAGAACAACATGCATGCTATTTAAGTCATGTTCTTCTAAGTTGCACTTCAATTTATGTCTCTGCAGCTTTCACAACTCTTCCTTAGTTGATGTACCTAAAATTCTTACTCTCTTGATTGAATGGCTTTAGATGAATTTACTCTCTTTCCAAGTATATGTTACTATGCTAGTGTATCTTAGGGAGAGATTAGATATTTAAGATAAATGCTATCCCTGAAGTCTTTCATGCTCCTCGCTCTGCAGTCTACCTGCTAGTCTTTTCACCTTTCCTCTAATATTTTTTTTTACTGAAGCTTGTGAGTTTATCCCTTGCTGAGGGTTCAAACTACTAAGGTTCCATGCTTACCTTAGAGACCTAGGGCTGCAAGAAGACATTTGTCTCTATAATTCACAAATCTGTGTATGTGTGATTTTATGTGCAAGCATTTCCAAGCATGCGACTCATAAGTATTGCATATTGATGGAGTAAATATTAAGGATCACACAACATCATTAGCAGGTGCATACGACTCTGTAAATTTGTAACTACAGCATATATTTGTCTCTGAAACTTAACTTTAAAATCCTCAATGGTTGTTCCTAAGTCTAATGGACATCTTGAAGCCTTACCTCTTCTTTCCTTCTTTTAGAATATGTTTTGAGAAACTTGTGATTAAGTTCATGGGAGAATATCTTTGCTTCGAGGCTGCTAGACTTCTATATATGTCTTGAATAAAAATATTTTGTAAACCCTGATTTTTCTCAGGCTCCAAGTTTATGGTCTATGTGAAGTGAAGGTCACTGGTGATGGGAACTGTCAGGTACAGTAAAATCAAGTGATGGTGAAAGCTAATCTCTCTCACATATTTTGACCTCATTTTAAATAGTCAAGCTTTAAGACTATTTATTCAAATCACATAACTTTGTTTTGCAGTTTCGTGCACTTTCAGATCAGATGTACAGGTCCCCTGAGTATCACAAACATATAAGGAAAGATATTGTTAAACAGGTACAATGTCTTTGGGGCTTAACTAGTGGATTTGGGCATAGATATTTTATGTGAAACCAAATATCAGGTCCTTAATTGCCAAATGGTTAGATCATGTTGCAACCTTTCAGGTTTTGAAAATTTTCACCTAATTCATCGGTGTTAAATTCACAACTGGAGATATTAGCTTCATAGCCTATTTACCGATAGCCCCAAAGAAAAATAGTATAAAGCCTGGTAGAAATTTCAACGTCTTTTTATAACTTGTATATATCTCCATATTGTTTCTTTTAACTGTTCTCTCCATCAAGAACACCACTTTCACTTTGGTTAGGGCCAAACTACCATCGTGAACTGTTAAACTTACGCAAAATTATACTTAAAAGAGTGATGCCACCTTTCCCAACTCAGTATAAAGACGTTTAGCCACTGACAGCATACATACTAACATTCTTGTCTTTCCATACATCACAATCTATCTTATCCCTATTTTTATATTTTTCTTTCTTGAACTTATTTGGTCAACTGTTTGAAGTTCACACTAACTATGAATTCTCTGAAAAATAAATTGATGGAGTTTTAGATTTGTGAAAGATATGCCAGAAGCAGGATGTAAAGAAATATGAAGTAATTAATTTCAAATGACTACTTTTTCTTATTTGTAATACTTTTTCATGTTCCAGCTTAAAGACAACTGTAACTTGTATGAAGAATATGTTCCAATGAAGTACAAGAAATATTGCAAGAAAATGGCGAAGTATGTTGCATCGTTAAGGGTCTTGCACTTGATGCTTTGATCTGACTGAGTTTTACCTGAACTGATGCTTCTATTTTAGAGTTTGCTTATAGTGATGATTTGCAAATCTAATTAACCTTATTGTGTAGATCTGGAGAATGGGGGGATCATGTTACATTACAAGCAGCTGCTGACAAGGTTTATCTTCCATCATAATTCTTATAAAAAAAAATCTTCCATCATAAAAACTGTCATAATTTCCTGCCTCTTTTATCTTACTCTCCTTTAACTTAATCATGATATTTAAGTTTAACATCATATCATATCATCAAGCTGACAGTCATTGTCACATCTCTCTATATTTAACCCTCCACGCGCTATGTAATGTGTTAAATTTCTGATCAGCTTTCAATGAAAGACATTAATTGTAACTTCTCCTATCAAACTTGTGTTCCTTTACCAAGTTCCATCTGATGTAACTTCTTTCTTGGTTTTTAGAAATATCTGATGATGACGATGCAATTCTGAAAATATTGTTAGAAACATCTGAAGTGTTAATCCCTTTTTTTTTTCTCATTATTATTTCTTAAAGAATTCCCTGTTCTTCCAAGTATTGTAAATGTGTTATGAGTTTTCAGTATTGCAAGTAAAATGCTTCGATACTCTGTTATCAGTGTGTAATATGCGGTATTTGTGTATTTGCAGTTTGCAGTAAAAATATGCCTTTTGACATCATTCAGAGATACTTGCTTTATTGAAATTATGCCACAAGGCCAGGCTCCTAAACATGGTAAGAATGGAAATAGATTTTCTCTTTTTCTTTTGGGAAAAAAAATCAAAAACCATACTCTGTAACTGTTTACTATTATTATTTTTATTATTTTCAAGTAGTTATTCATCATGCGCTCCCTGCTCTTATCACTTCATGTAAAGCTTCCCTTGCAATCTCGTATAAAAATAAGCATTTTATCCTATGAGTTTGTTTGGTTATCGGTTAATTTGACTTTGTTTCTCGTCTTTCACCCTGACTTAATAATGAAAGTCCTCCCACTTGTACTGCATTTATACGTAAACAAGTAACATGTCCTATGCTGATAGATTAAGCCTCTTATCATTCTAACTATCAAGATGATATCCATGAATGCATTCTTATGGTTTTTAACCTTTATGTTTTGAATTGTGCAGGATTGTGGTTGAGTTTCTGGTCCGAGGTGCACTACAACTCCCTATATGCGATCCAAGGTTGGTTAGGGTGAAAATATGATTTTAGGTTGAGCCTCTCTGGATTTTGGATATTCAAAGGATAAAATATTCTAACCTATCTTTTCCAGGTGCCCCTGTTCCGAAGCCGAAGAAGAAACATTGGTTGTTTTAACGAGCAAAATGTTGGGGAGGTGATTCCATTCTGTGTTGCTGAAAAATTAGTACCATGTACACTGCTAAATATATATTCTTTTTAACAGATGATACTAACAAGGCATTTTTTTGGTCTTTATTACTGTAAAGATCTATGGTGCTATTGAAATGCACCAGGTTTTTTTTCTTTTCTTTTGAAAAAAGAATATATATATATCATTGTTCTTTTGCTTGTGGGATTTGTTTCCTGTTAGAGCAAATTCAAACATTCTACAGTGAATTGTAGCGAAATAATTTTTAGCCTTGCAAAGTTACAATGTTACATATGTTTGTCAAACTTCAACTATTCCTAATTTACCCTTTAAAAGAGGAAGGGACGTGTTTGTCAATGTTTTCCTGTAAGGGGGATTAAATTGCAATTTTGACTATACTATATGCTTCAATCAAGAAATGGCATAAATAGTCGTACGTTAAAATTTTACATTCTTGTTGAAAGCCGTAAAGAAATGAGGTGAGCAAAAATTAACCATCACATAACAACAGGAGTATTTCCAATCACTTCCAGTTGTTGGCAACAATGTCTGCCAAGTCTACAACCCTTTGAGAGTAACCCCACTCGTTGTCGTACCAAGCAAACACCTTAACCATGTCTTCTCCCATGACCATGGTGAGTGATGCGTCGACGGTGGAGGACACATCGGAGCACCTGAAGTCGACTGAAACAAGGGGTTCATCACATACAGAAAGGATACCCTGAAGCCCTTTCTCCGCACTTTTCTCTGAAAGCAGCATTCACCTCTTCAGCCAAGGTCTTCTTCGAGACCTGCAGGACTAGGTTGACGGCCGAGACAGTTGGTGTTGGCACACGCAAAGCAATGCTGTTTAGTTTGCCTTTGATAGTAGGCAGTACAAGGGCCACGGCCCTCGCTGCACCTGTCGAATTCTGGACAATGTTGAGAGCTGCAGCTCTAGCACGCCTGAGGTCACGGTGGCTAGCATTGAGTAACCGTTGGTCACCGGTGTATGAGTGAGTTGTAGTCATGGTACCCTTGATGATACCTGCCATATATTACGTTCGTTCCACATTATCGCTTGTCTACTTTTTCACCGTCATATGTGCTAGGTTAGAACCATTTTAAGGAAAATTTAAGGTTCAGGAACAATCTGGAGAAAGCAGTTACCAAACTTCTGGTCCAGAACCTTGACAAAGGGAGCAAGGCAATTGGTAGTGCAAGAAGCATTGCTGATAATAGGCTCATCTGGATTATAAGCATCAGCGTTAACTCCAACAACATAGGTTGAGTTGTCACCTTTCCCTGGTACAGTTATTAATACCTTCTTTGCTCCTGCTTGAATGTGCTTTCCTGCACCATCTCTGTCAACGAATACGCCAGTTCCTTCGATCACCAGGTCAATCCCCAAGCTCTGCATCAACATTCAGTTTGAATGAATAAGTTTATAACCAGAAATTGTTAATTTATATGCAAATCTGATGCATTTGAATGTAGAAATAGTGATACGAGAAACATAAACTCTTACTTCCAAGGGAGGTTGGCGGGGTTACGGTCGGAAACAACCTTGATAACCTTGCCATCACAGATATGTCATTGTCGCCGATAGGCTTGACGTCGGCTTCAAGTATGCCAAGGGTAGAGTCATATTTGAGAAGGTGAGAAGCCTGCTTAACACCACCAGTGTCATTGATTGCAATGACATCGAGTGGGGAGTCCTTACGGCCGTGGCAGCACCTTAAGAAGTTCCTACCTATCCTACCAAAACCATTTATAGCCACCTTTAGCTTTGCATCTACCACCCCTTTACGGTATCCACCATTGCTTCCCAACTACAAACAAGAAGCACACAAGTTCAAGGAACACCATTCATAAATAACATAACGAATTAAATGATCTTCAAGATGATAGAGAGTGGAACTCACAGAATATGTCTGGAAAGCAACGACCGAGTGAAAGTCATCCGATGTTTTCCTGGAGATGGGAAGGCTACCAGAGTTGCGTAGGCCAGAGAACTCCGCAAAACCCTTCCCATTTGCCTGAGAGCCAAAAAAAGGAACATTTTGATTAGTAAAAGGGATGATGTAGTAGCAGGTAGTATCAACAAGATGAGCAGCAATGAATCTGAAGGGTTGGGTTGGCTACAGAAACAGTTACCGAGGCCATGATGATGGTGGTGCGTAGCCAAGGCAAAAGGTTTTAGTTTTAAGTAGAGGGTGAGATTATGGATAGACCCTCCTTCAATGTATGGATGTGGTTTGATGTTTGTGCTTGTGTGTTTCACTCCAATCCACCCTACCTTTCTCTTTCTTAATTTTGTCTGATATATTTCCAATCGTGTGGTCTCTGTGACCTTCACGGCATATTGCTCCCTGTGAATATAAATCTATTTTAAACGCTTGCCCAGTGGCTATAAATTTGGGCTCTGTCTCGTGATAAGATGACCAGAACCCAATATTTAAAGTATATAACTTGGCTTCTTGAAAGAAAAAAAGGGGGGGGGGGCTCTTTCCGGCGAACCTCTCTCATCATCCAGGCCAAAAGAACTTGATTCCACCCATACCGACTAATAGCTCTCCGTCCAATTTGAAAGCGACAAATCGTAAATGGTCGATAAAACTTCACTATTTCCATCATCTAAACCATCGTAAACAGTCATGCCACATGTTGACTTCAACAAGTTTGGATAATGTTTAAAATCTGTTATATTAGATTTTCTTCAACCAACACAAAAGAGATCAAATTCATTCTTTAAGATCAAATTTAGAAAACTTTGAAGCAACCACCCATCCAAAATCAAATGTTAAATGTCCTTGAATCAAAATTTATCCAATTTGATTATCCCAACACAAAGATCATGTCTTAATGACCCATGAAACGAGTTCCATGGACCCAAAAAAAACAAAGTCGTGGAGACTTTTGGATTATTTCTGAAGAGAAATAAACCCTGTATTTTTTTTATAAAAAAATATTTATTTTGAAAAATTAACTATTTATTTTTTAAGATATATGCTTTACTAAAACATACTATTATTCTATAACCAGAGTAGATGTCTATCTTGTAAGTAACCTTCTTGACAAGAAAGGTTGAGAGAGTGTTTGATGAGTAGTGAACTCCTTTTTATTTATTATAATGCTGGCGATATTGTGCTGGCTTGTAAATGGAGCGGCCTTTATATTCAATAAATTTATATTTGATGTAGAAATATATGGACCGTTAGTGCATCGTATATAAACCCTTGCAATATAAATAAACAAATAATTGGAAATCAAATATACTACTTTTTCATGTATGAAAATGAATTCAATATACAAACTGACACTACAACTTATCTAAGAATCTAGATCTAATTAAAGTTGCACCTAAATACATATATAGTTCACATCTACACATTAAGAAAGGTCACACTCAGTGACTCATGTTGCTAAACAGATTCAATGCCAAACCCTTGTACAATAAACAAGCTCATTGTATTCAATAAGATCCTAGTTGAGAGCAATGACTCACATTGAGTGACGACCATCTGCCCTGTCTTTTCTTGTTTGCTCCTCTTGAATCTCTTCATAATCCTCCTCGCCTCCCCTTCTACCAGCTTGCTCCTTCCAATATGCAACCAAACTTTTCAATCGAGCCACCTCTTTCGAGCTAACGTTTTTGCTTGCATCGTTCACGATGGATCGAACTCTTGATGCATATCTAAAGTAACAAGAAAAACAAAATAAATAAATGAAGATGATGTTACGCTTCTTCGAAATAGTACACTATCGTTACCAACAATATGGTCAATTATTTCGGTATAATATCATAGAACTACTTGGAAACTCAAGTACTTTAATGCAGAGGAGTTGTAAAGAAAGCATACGTTAGAGAGTTATATGTCTCATCCAAATTCGATTCAACCGGAGACACGTTAACAAACATGAGTGTTTTGGCATTTCCACCTAGTGAATCGCTCATTAACATTGTTAGCTTGTGATTTCTGTAAGGAATATGTTGGCCGCCAGAAGATAAAGCGCTAATGACATCACCAAGTGCAGAAAGAGACTTGTTAATACTCTGTGCTTCTTTAAGTTGACAACCGACAGAACCAGACTTTTTCACTCTCTCAGAACCAGCAAGGTCCACAAAACTTAGCTGCACATGAGATCGTCAGATTGTCCCGCATTTAGAATCATGCAAGTGCGGAAAAGGAAGAGTTGTTACTTGTGTTAAGGTACAAAAACTTACATGTGGCAAGGTACTCAATACTTCATAAGATTCAAATATGGGCAAACTAATCATATACTTATAAATTATTATACCTTTCCCCTGGCAACAGACTGTGTTTGAAGATTGGTACTCTCAATAACAACTGAAAGTATTAGATGAGATCTTGAACTTTCCTCATTCATTTGTGTCCCGGATGTGTGTCTTCGTTCGGATCCTCTCTGAATAATGCTTTTTAATTCCTCGAAAGTTGAAATAGGCAAAACCGTTGCATTTTCAACACCAACCATGCCCTGAAAATCAAAAAATAAAAGCTATAAAACCTATACAAGCAGGCATCATACTAAGCTCACAACTAAAACTAGAGACCAATCATCATAGAATATTATATAGCTAAAAAAATTGCATAAGAAATATAAATTCTTCAAAAAACAGTCACTGAAGTTAAAACTACAGCCTATCCACTTTAAGCGATAATACCTTTGCATCTTTCTTTATATCAAGTTTCAGACGCTTAGCATTCTTCGGTAATAACAAGTCCACAAGTATATCCTGGTATAACTCCACCATATACGCCTGTCATATCATGATGAATGTTAACAATTAGGATATGGGATATTATTTTTGATTGTCAAAACTTTTTAGCAGTAGAGGAAAAGGTTGTGTTGCCTTGAAAGAATTGTGAGAGCAACCTTACAGTTTTAAACAATATGGGTTGAATGTAATATTAGATTCATAATCATCCAACCTAATAAAAGCTAGTAAAAAGGCTTGTGAACCGGTTATGCATATAAATTATATCAAAATAATAACCTTTAATGAAAATGAGAATCTGTTGCCGTCTCGCCTTAAAATTTTGAAAAGTTCTGCAATAGCTCGAGGCGTCAATCCAGGATTGTTATCTGACCCATATATAGTAAATGTCTTCC